TGTTATGCTTTCATTTTTATACAAAAGATTTGAGACTTGTATATTTTATATTGAGACTGCATTTATAGTGCATCTTTATTTGGACTAAGTAGTTTCAAATCCTCGATTGTGATGTGGGATAGTATTTATCCAATTGGGAAAGATACTTTTTCTTGAAGTTTAGTGACTTTAGCTTTTAATGTTTTAAGTTTACAGTAATGTGAAAATATATTTCCTTTTTGCTTCACCATTTCAACTATTTACACATATCACAATTCATAGGGCAGCATTGGTCTAACAATAAAATAAAGTCCAAGTTTACATTAAGACTCACAACGTGTGTTGGATATTACTGAAAATTTGAGAAATGCAAAATTCTATCTACTCAAACATATAGAACCATAAATAAAACTGCTTTGTAAACTCCCTGGAACTCTGGTGTTGTAAAGGTCTGCATGTATGACTCTCATAATCAATAAATTTGGTGGTGAAAAATGCAGAAGTACTTTCCAATTTCATTGCTTTGCTTTATGGTGAACAAATTCACATGTTGTCAGAAAAGTATTAGTAATGTAGCCCCAGCTTGGTGTTGTAGAAACGAATTAGGACAATATATTAAGGCATGAAATTAGCATGTGGAAAGTACTAAAAAGTAGAAAGAAGGTCAAAGTTTAGACTTCAGAAATGCAGCATATTTCTTTATTAACCTTGAGCAACTCACTGGGAATTTCTAGATATGGTGCAATGGCTGGTTGTTGAGGGGATGCAGAAATATGTAATGGGGAGTATTTTTTTATTGCACTCATGACTCAGACAAGAATGGGCAATACAAGGAAGGTTCTGCGGCTGTACTCACTCCTAGATGAGTGAGGCTGCAACTTCTTTTCTTGAGCCTTGGGGCCATAGTGCATCAATCTTCATAACTGAATGTGGGTCTCTTGAGGTCATTTCAAAAGCACCTCACAGTCAATCTTCTGGTGCTATCCATTTGAATCACCCCAAATGGCATCCAGGCAAATGACCTGTTGGTAGAGGCTTGGGACAAAATCCACACAGGAGTAGGAGGCTCCTGGGAACTTGGTAGAAATGACGAGAGTGGCATAATGGTGCCTGGAGGTACACAAGCTCATCTTGAAACTTTCTCAACTTGTGTTTTCATAGGGACACCAGACCTCAGATGCACAGCTTCAGGGGAAATGGTGGAAACTATCTCCAAGGACATGGAGGAGGGTTGGCTGAAAGAAGTCAGGATTATTAAAGCCTCTATCTTTTGTAAAATGATAAACCACATGGCATGCACATTCATTTATATGTATATACCCACCTACATACATACACACGTACATAGGTTCCCAGTTCACCTGGCTGACATTGCAGATGCCATCTTCCTTTAGACATAAACATCTGTAGATACTTATAAGATGCCCCTTTTGAGTATTCTCTTATTCTTCTTGCAGCTTCCTCTCATAGTGTGCAACTTGTCTGAGGATGACTGTCTTCAACGCAGGAGCACCAGTTTGTACAAGGATGGAGATGTGGTGATCGGTGGTTTCTTCTACCTGTACAACTCTTTTTACTTCACTGGTATGTCTCATATAAAACCCAGCGAGGACTTCGTTATCATGGAGTAAGTGTCTTTTTCATTTATTTATTTTCTTCTTAATAATCAGGATCAATAATGCCTGGGGTTTGTGAATGAATGTGAGATCAATACTCTCTGAATCTCTATTCTGTTCTTTCCATGCTCACTTGCTCAGAACTGCTTATAATTTCTTTTTTATTCTGTTCCCTTTTTCATTTTTTGAAAATAGAAGATAATTTTTTCATATTTTATATTCTCTTCCTAAAGGTTAGATCACGAGGGAGACACTATCTTGCACCTACTGTATTATATATAGTCTTCATTATACCTGACTCACCACTGTGTGACATTAACAGGTCTCTATTATAAACTCAATCAAAGCCCTAGATTGAACTCAATAGAATAAGACTGAAGTAAATATCCATTTCCTAAAGACCAGGGTCTGATAATATTTCTCCTTATGCATAAAATATCATATATCCCCACAGCTATTTATGCCTCACTTGCTGAAGCAGATCTTACTGTAGATATTGTAGATATTCAGTTACACTTTCCAATACTATGCGTGTTTTAGTTTCATTTCAGTGCCTGTCTAAGATTGGATCTTCAACTCAAGCCAGGAATAATGGGGTAATATTCTATGAAATGCCACCATCTAATTTGCTTCTTATTCACAGGCATTTTCTTGCTTTTCTGACATCCCCACATCAGTTCTGTAGCTAATGTTATCATTAATAAATACATTTTGTATAGAGTCAGAGCATTCTAGATAACTTGTGCTCCTGTGTACATGGACATGTCACCAGAATCACGTTTGTTTATGTCTCTTGTCTGATGATTGAGACACTAGTGTTGTCTTTACTAGTTGTCCATGCTTGGAAGTAGGGATGGCAGGGTTAAGAATTAGGTCACCTTCTGAGCACAGTAAGTGTTTTACCTATGGCATATTCATTATCATATATAAGATGTTTACTCATATTATTGTTCTCAGGCAATTTTAAGATGTTTATATATTTTTGAGACAAAGTTTTATTATGTTGTCAATGTTGCCCAAATCTTTTGCACTTAAGAAATCTGGCTTTAGCCTCCCAATTAACAGAGACTATAATCATGTGTCATTACAGCTGGCATTTCCTGAGATAATTTTGCAAAATATATTTGATGTTGTTGGTCAATTTCTTTAAGGTAATATTTTAATTGTGATGGTTGGTGTTTATTGTTTCTACTAGTTATTAAGAGGTCTGGAAAATCATTAGGTGAATGAGTCAAGGAAGTCTGGTCTGTATATCCTGCAATCTGTTAAAGTAAAAAATTACTAATGGGACTTACTAAAAAAGCTAGGAAGACTTTTATCTTATCAGGAAAGAATCATCAGTATATATATTGACCACTGTAGTGAATTACAGAAGAGTTGAGGTAGATCCTGAATACTGCCTGTGCTATTGAGAGTTTATGACCAAAATGTAGCATGGACCTCAGGATGGCAAATTACTCAGAGACAACATAAGGGTCATGAGGACCAGGCTAAACCAAACTGAAAGGATTCTAGAGGAAATAATCTCAGTGTGAATGGACATAATCTGGGGACAGTAAGGGATGGAGAACTGGTCAGATAACAAGTGTGATCCAATTTCAAGGATACTTCAAAGGTGCTAGAGAAAAAAATTTTTTCTCTTCCTGAATAAGAGAGGCCACCTACTCTTTCTCTTTCTGTCTTCTGCCCATGTTCACCTGATCACTGTGGCAGTCAGTCTTTTCCCTGACCTTGCACTGTGTACTGTGTCTGTGACTGAAAATAACAGCCTTTCAATTCCGGGAGTTTTTAATGTCCAGGCTATCTTATGACTTAAAATTCTTGAAGTGCCCGTGAAAATGCTTCAGGATTTCCTAAAATCAAAATGAAAAGGAAGAGAACTTTGGAAAATAAAAATATGTAGAGATAAAAACATATTTATTTTTACAAGATTATATTGTAAAATAGATTTTTAATACTGTAAAGAAGGATAAGGCCCAAGCATATACATATATGCAATAACCACAATAGTTATACATTAGTTTTTATAATGTTCTGGAGATTATAATTATATATGTATATAAATAGTAGGATTATTCTCTCTGTCAACATATTTTACATAAGAAAAGATAGTATATATGTTTGTATAAACCTCAATATCATCATGAGTATTCATATGCCTATACAACATTATATCTTATAAAACTAACAAGGTTCACTTTCACCAAATTTGGATGTTCCTAATTTTCAAATTGGTTTTTAATTTCATGTTTCTATAGGGAGAATAATATATAGATCTTTGAGGGAGGTAGTTTGTTGCAGCTAGCTGTACATTTTTTTAATTAAAATAAGAGAATTGTTTCAAAAGAATGGCTGGATTCTAAGCTATGTATAATTAAAAGTCATTTTGTGCATATGATCAAAGAACCTTTGAGAAAAATAATAATAAATACTTCCAGTAGCCACATAAGGGAGTATTATTTTCTTCATATTTACACCAAATGTGACATGACTTGATGTGTGCAGATAGTCATTGATATATTTAAATTTTATTAAGAGATGGATTATTTATTTCCGTGTAGTCTTAACAATATTTTATTGTGTGGTTTGCCTTTTACTCCTTTTTCTATCATATTATAGACTTTCAGCATTTAAAATGTTTCATATATTTAAGAAAACAAATATTTGTTTACAAAGTATTTAAAATATTTTAAGAGATTTTTGCTTGAATTAAGTAGTTTGGGAATAATATATAAAAAGTGGATATCAACTTGTAGGTAGAGAAAATACAATCATCCCACTGTGTAAGTTTACACATACATCTGTGTTAATTCTAGTACTTTTTTATGGTTTTGTGTTTTGAACCCAGTGGCTTCCCATTGAGCTTCATCCTCAATCCTCTAAAAATTTGTTTAGGTTCATAGTATTGGAACAGCATCTCTCTAAGTTGTCCAGTTGTCAAAGCTGGGCTAAAACTTGTGAGATTTCTGCCTCAACATCCTACAGTACTGCAATTACAAGTGTATGTGACTAGAAATTGTTTTCATTTTGTATTGAGTACATTAAGTTTATCTTTCACAATAGCTAACATTCACTATCAGCAAAATAATTTAATATTGATCTATTGATTTCCAATACCAGTTATCTGATACAAGGAGCATATCTATTTCCATATGTATTAAATAAATTGAAAGTTTACCCACAGGTAATTTCTCTTTTTTATTCTATCTTATTGGATTGAATTCTAGAATTTAAATATTTTTAAAATATTGTACATATTTAGAAGTAATTTTTCTCTATATTTTTATCATTTAATCTGAATTACTTTCACTAACTTCAAATAATTCTTATGTTTAAAAACCTCTAAGATAAGTTTTGCTATTGCCACGAAAACCCTTGTCTTCATTTTTTAATGAAAGTGGTGTGAACTTCGATGGAACTCAGTGGTGAATATTGACATCTTTGCAATATGTTCTTTAATGTTTTCATCTTCTTCAATAGAATTGTATGGTTTAGTTCAAGTATCCAGGGCAAAATATTTTATTCTGTTTGTATATTACATACATTTCCCCCATGATGCTTGATGTTAGTGATCTTAGGTTGGAAAGTTTTGACAACTGTTCATATATTTACTCTTTGATTGGGCATTGTACACTTTATGAATCATGAATCCTCTTCAGATTTTTTTAAGTTTCTAAAGTGAGTCATTTTCTACTTTATGAGCTATTAATACTGGCACTTTTCTTTAATTATTTTTTTCTCTGCTGTTTTACTGCATGTTAACTTTATGGATTAGAAATTCCAGAGCCATAGAACCATAGAATTAGTTACCAATTCTAGTGCTTAACTATAATCAACACAAAGCATCCAAAGCAGATCACAGCGCATGCGCAGAGCGGATTTTGTTGTTAATGTGAGATTTCTAGAAGATGAGTGAGTGGCTGGAGCACACAGCAGCTCCTGGTGCACACAGCACACCTGCTCTGAGACTTTTTTTTTGCATTTAAGGAAGATCAGTGTTTTGATTGAACGTTTCTTCTTTAAATTCACTGAAGACTGTCAATTTTAAACTGTGTATTTTTATGGAATGAAATGGGAAGTGCTGATTTTATTTAAATTTTCCAATAATTAAATAACACAAATTAACATATCCATACCCTCACGCACATCTCCACATGGATAAATGTGGACAGGGATTTTGTTTTAATTACATTTAAAGTCACAATGTGAACTAAATATCTTTTCCTATAAGTAGTGTATGTGACAGGAAATGAGTAGTGATTAGTACAAAATGTATATCCTTTGGTAAAGATAATATTTTTCTCCTTCAAGGAAAGATAAGATTAAAAACACTAAGTTTTAAATACATACCCAGAATAATTCTTTGCACATATTTGTACTCATAAAAAGCCAATATAAACTTTATAAAATCACAAATTTATTGTCTATATTTTTGTTTTAGAGAAGAATATTTTCGTAGACTGAATACCTATTAATTTTTAGAAAGAAATTAATTTGTAAATACATCCAGGCTCACTGTATGTTGCAAATTTTATTCTTTCAGAGCTCTGCAAAAATATATAGGTATATTCCTATAATTTTACATTATATTTTACTTCAGTCCCTTTGTGTAATTACATTTATATTTTAATTAAATAAGTCTTTCACAAAGATAAATACAATTATTTAAATCTAGCTACATGAATTTGCACATTATTTCTTTTCTTATATGATTTTCTTTACAATTAATTTTCCTGATTTTGTTTAATTAGAAGTTTTGAGTGATGACTATTTTATTACCCATTCTTTGATATTGACTTTATACTCTTGCTTTCTAATCTCTTATCCCTAGTACTGTATACTATTAAACATGTGTTTATTATCTTTTTTCCTGTTTTTAAAGTGCAGAATAATTTTATTTTCTTATACAGTATGCTTCTTTGTTTGCCAAGAAATACAACGCTTGCATATTTTATCTCAAAGGAAAGATTTTTCTCATTCTTTTTCTTCCTTCACTGGTTATGTTGCATCA